ACTGATTACTTATAATCGAAGGTAAAAAATAGTCAAACAATCTCCTCAAAAATGTGCACTTGAAGTCATGGACAAAATTAAAGAGGAAATCAAAAGATTATTAAAAGCCAAATTTATCAGAACAACCAGTTGTGTCGATTGAATTTCTTATATTGTTCTTGTTATTAAGAAAAATGAAAAAAAATTAGAACATGTATTGATTTTTGAGATTTGAATAAGGCAACACCTAAATATGAATATACTATGTCAAATGCTGAAATGTTAATCGATGTTGTAACAGGAAATGAAATATTAAGTCTTTTAGATGAGTATTGTAGATATAACCAAATATTTATTGCTGAAAATGATATATTGAGAGACTAATTTTTGATGTCCTGGGGCATTAGGAACTTATGAATTGTTAGTTATATCCTTTGGCTTAAAAAATGTTGGATCAACATACTAAAGAGCTTTGAATTTAATTTTTCAAGACTTGATTGAATATTTTATGCAGGTTTATATTGATGATATTGTAATTAAATTTGAATAAAAAAATTTCACCTTGATAGATTAAAACAAGCTTTCAGGATAATGAGATATCATAATTTGAAAATGAATCATTTGGAATGTGTTTTTGGAGTAAATGCAGGTGAGTTCTTAGGATTTATTGTTCATAAAAAAAGGGATTGAAGTAGATAAAAATAAAGTTAAAGCAATAATCGAAACCAATTAATGCTCGAAGAAATAAAATATTTACAATCTTTATTAGGTAAAATTAATTATTTGAGAAAATTTATTTCAAATTTGACAGACAAAACTTGTGTTTGTTCTTCATTGTTTAGATTGAAGAAAAAAAGTGTTTTTGTAGGGAATCTCAAGTATCAGGAAGCATTCAGTGTGATAAAGTGAGCACTGGGTAATCCACCCATACTAATTTCAATTGATCAAAGCAAAACTTTGAAGTTATACATTTCAACATCCAAGAATAATATTACAAGTATGTTGGCTCAAGAGGATGTGAACAAAGATGAATGTGTTGTATATTATTTAAGTTGCGTGTTGATTGATGATAAAACTCGATATAGTGCAATTGAGAAGTTGACTTTGTGTTGTAAACTGAAACATTATCTTAAATCTTGTGATGTAATTGTTTTTTCACAGAACAATATATTAAAGTTGCTATTATTCAAGCCTATTTTGCATAATCGAGTAAGTAAATGGATATTGTTGTTTATAGAATTTTCATTATTGTTTGAAAACTTGAAATCGATTAAAGGGCAAGTTATGACTGATCTTTTAACGAATCACACACATGTTAATGTCGATGAAATATATATTACTAAAAATAATTGATGGTTGTTATATTTTGATGGTTATAGTACTTCGAATGAAACTGGAGTGAGAATTGTCATAATTTTTTCGACTAACATTCCCACTAAGTTATTATTTGAGATTAAGTCAATATATTCGAACAATAAGTTGAATATGAAATATTAATATTATTAGGGTTAGAAACTTTAATCGAGCTTCTAATTAATTCCTTTATTATAAGATCTGACAACTTACTTTTTCTGATGTAGTATTTACTCTAAGACATTAATTCTAACTTCATCCAATTCATTTAACTCATCATACATTTTGTTCTAATAATCCTGACTAGATAACTCATTTTCTTTGGATTCTAACCGATTTTATATTAATCTCAATTGGTAATACCACATCGTGTCCATAAACCAATTTATAAGGAGTTGTTTTTATAAAATCTTTTGAAGGATTTCTATAAGCCCATAATACTTGAGATAATATTTTGTGTCAATTCATTGGTTTACTTCTAATATGCTTCTTTATTAAATTAATTAAAACTTGATTAATAACTTCTACTTATCCATTACATTGAGTAAAATAAGGAGTCGAAACTAATAATTTAATATTCCTCAATTTGACATAGTTAGAAATTTTCTTACTAGTAAATATTGTTTTTTTATTTGTCGAAATTTATTTCAAAATTCCAAATCAATAAACCATGTGTTCTTTTATAAAATCGATAACATCATTTTACTTAACATCTTTCAAAGGAACTGCCTCCACCCATTTAGTAAAATAATTAACCACCACGATTATAAACTTATGTCCCTTTGACTAATGAGGATAAATTTGTCCTATTAAATTTATTATCCTTCCCCTAAAAGATTATGACTTAATTATCGAATGTGATTGGTACATTTTGTATTAATTCAAACTTTTGACATTCTTCACAAGACATAATATATTCAATACAATCTTTCAAAATTTAAGATCAATAATTTTTTTTTCAATATAATATTCATTTCATTTTCTCACCTATCATATATGTCCCTCAGTATTCATTATGTACCTCAACCATTTTTACTTAAATATTTAAGCATTCTATCAATACCTATTTTATATAATTCATTACTCAATGTTACATAACTTATGGTTCAATGCATTGTTTCTAACTTATATAAATTATTCAAATATTTAAGTATTTACAATCTCTCATCATCAACTTCTTACAAAATTCAATCAAATCAAAACTTTAACTTCTTAATTTTTTCTCTTTTTCTCTTACTCTAGAACTTTAACCTAAATCCCACCTCTTATTCTTGTTAAAATGTTTTAATTTCTTCCTCTGAATATCTCGACATTAAAAAAGAAAAGAAAAGAAGATGAAATGACAAGTTAAAAAAAAATGTTTGATTAACTAATTAACAAAGTTGTTAAGAAACTGGATTCATGCCTCTTCTATACTTATAAGTCAACACCATGTCATGTCTCTTTTATATTTATAAGTCATTTCATGTTGAGAAGATTGGATTTTTACCTTTCTTCCTGAAAAAAAAAATAGTTAAATAGTATCATAATAAAATAGAAAAAAAATTAGATTATCAAAAGTGGTAAATCATCTTACTTAGAAAAATGTATAATTGTTTTATCATTTCTTAGTAAACTTATATTAGCAGTGTTTAGCTATAACCTTAGAGAATGTATAATTAACTTCTTTCTGATTGAATTAATGTTTCTCTATACGTCTATTCCTTGTGCATTAAAATATATGAAAAATAAATCTAATACCATTTAAGAAATTATATAATTGATTGTTATTTGAAGAAACGAAAATTTGAACTATTACATATAACAAAATATTTGACAATGATAATTAATTTAAATTATATTAATCTATTTATTCAATTAAATCATATTAGATTAATTGATTAATTTAGCCTTCATCTATCTAAAATCAACATAACTACAATTGAATTATATTTTTTTACGGGATTAAATATAATTTTTCAGATACTATGAGACAAACATAATATTTGTTAATATATATATATATATATATATATATATATAAACAAACAAACTGGTGACTTAGTTTTGTGTGTCATTAGTGCTTAATACGAATATAATGTTTGTTTTAGGAAAAGTAATTAATGTTCTGCTTCCGATTATTCACAAATATATTCATTAAAAAATCCCTTCACTACATTATTGTACATTAAAAACATTAAATTTAAGAATGATGATTTATTACATGTTTTAGGTCCTAACATTATATTATTTTTGAAACTTTTGTGTTTTTCTTACTCTTTTTAAAAAATATTATTAAAATGATTTGATTAAGATTTTGTATAATTATAAAATATTTTAATTCTTTATTTATCTAATTAACTACACATATTTTTATCTTATATACAGGTATATATATATATATATATATATATATATATATATATATATATATATATATATTCTTTTAAAAAATGAATAGACTATACTTCGATATAAAATGATGTTAAATTATGAAAAATCTCATTCAAGGTGATAGATACGATGTAAAAATCCTTTTAAGTCAAAGAAATGAAAAAACCCTCTTAATGCAAAAATATTTTTCAAACAAGAATGTGTGATGAAAAATCCTTTTTAATGTGAGTGTGATGCAAAAATCTTTTTCAAATGAGAATGTGCGATGAAAAATCCTTTTTAATGTGAGGAGTTGTAATGAAAAATCTTTCTTAAAATGAAGAATAATGATGAAATTTTATCTAAATTTGATATACAATAACATTATATTATATTATGTTATATGTGAATAAAATTTTCACTTAATTAAATTGGTTTTATAAGATTAAATTCTGTATTTTACCATTTTTACAAGAAAGATAAATAATTTAGATTAACTTATAATTTTTTTATTTTTTTATAACAAACTTTTAAAAAGTTTTTTGAAGATATTAAAAAAAACACATTTTGATCGAATCATAGATATATTTTGAACCAATATTTTTTTTTTCATTATTATAAAATTTCATAATCATTGATAAATGAGATTCTAAGTAAAAAATTTCATAATCATTGATAAATGAGATTCTAAGTAACAAATGTAAATATAAGTGTGGAAGACAGCGAATAAATAAATATACATATATTAAAATACATTTTAAAATTACTCTTGGTACAATATTTGTGAACATGGGTATAAAAATGAGTCCAATTCCATATTGGTGAAACCCTATATAAATTGTGGCAAAGAAGAGGAACTTGCAGAAATACAGAAAAGCAGAAAGGGGTTGTGTCAATTGAACTTAGACGCGTACTGAAACCTAACCCGGACGTGTTCCGGTTAAGAAAACCGGATTGCATATCGCCAATAAGTCCGAATTTTCAAGTGTAGATTTTGTTGTGATTCTAAAAGAAACTCACACCAACGCAAGTAAGCTCACAAAACCCTAATCGCCAATGTTTTTCCTCCATTTCTCTTGTTCTGTGATACGATTTCGATTTGTTTCTATGATTAACATTTTAATCTGTGCTCAATTTTCCATTCTTGCCCTCGGTATGTGTTTTACTTCTAATATTTTAATTCATCATCTAAATTCTACTGGTTGGTTTTGTTTTGCATGGTTTACTTTTGATCACAGCTGGAGGCAGCATGTGCTAGCTTCCGGGTTTTGCTTGCTGATTGCTCTTAGTTTTTTTTGCTGAAGATTCTGTGCAAAATGGATTTAGTAGCTAGTTGCAAGGTATGCTTATATGTTTTAATCTTTGAAAATTATGTTTGTTTGATTTGTTACCGTTAATTTGTTAATGGAGAATGCAGTTTTGAATTTCCTGGTCATTGGAAATTTAGTTTTGGATTGGCTTCTAAACGGAACTGGGAATTTTTTTTTTTTTTTTTTCAATTTTATTTGCATTGGTAGATGTAAGAATTAGAAATTTCTCTCGGAAAACATACCTTATTCATTGTATGGACTTGCAGTTTTTGTTTATTTTTGATTTATTTATCATGATCATTTTTAACTAGGGATGTCATGCAGGAAAAGGTTTTATTCATATTTTGTCTTGAGTTTATGCTGTGTAATATTAAACATGGGCTATGATGTTCTACTTTACTGATCGAGTGACTTTTCTTGTAGGAAAAATTGCAATATTTTCGGATTAAAGAGCTCAAAGATGTGCTCACTCAGTTGGGACTTTCAAAGCAGGGAAAGAAGCAGGTGAGGCGAGAAAAATTACTGATTATGCATGTATCTTCAATTTTAGGATTTTGCTTTGAATCTTGAATGCTAGAGTAGTTGGCACCTTTGAATGATGTTCATTGGCTGATTACTTGTTACTTTTTGTGATAATTTTTTACCCCCTTTTTAAATTGCTATATGTAGGTTGCGTAGTTTAGACTTATTTGTCGCTTGGTAATGATGCATATGCATTTGAAACTCTTGGAAAAGATGGATGTTGTCAAAGTTGGCATAGACTTTTGTGTTTTGGTTTTTAAATTTTAACTTGTGCCATTATATATGTTTTAATGCTTAACTTCATAGTATCTTATTTGGAGTATTAGGACAATATGATAATATGAATGCTTCATTTTCTATAGGATCTTGTTGATAGGATATTATCTATTCTTTCAGAGGACCAAGGTATGATTATACTCTCTCTGGCTTACACACACAGTGACTCAACCTTTAATTCTAATTCTGCCTTATTTTTGTAATGCTTATGTTTGGTTGTGTCAAAGCTTATTTATTTGAATATCTGCATGTTAGAGTTATCAACTTGACATTTTAACGTTCAAATGTATTTGTATGTCAATGTCAATATCTTATTGTAGCTGTTAATTGTTGTATATGTTTTTGTGTTTTATTTTTCTCTAGTTCAAGTTAGATTTATAATATATTTTCCTTCTTAGGGTTTGTTTGGATAATCATCTCCATAAACACTTATAGGAGAATGACATAAGAAGGAAAAATGAAATATACTTATTCAGAAGTTAAAATTTATGCATAAACAAATTTGTAGAAGTTCTTTTATATATTAGTTTCTCCAAATTTGTTTTAAAATTTCTGTATAAACTAACTTTATCTTCTGTAGAAGCTTATAATTTATTTTTTCTTACATTTTTCCTTAGAAGTGTTTATGGAGAAGTTCATCCAAGTAGACCCTTGATTTGATGACTTCGGGTTTTTTCATTTCTCTTGGCTCTGTGTTTGTACACCAAATTTCCTTTCAGGGTTTGTCATTGTGTTTTTGGAGCACAATTTAATATTCAATCCAGTCATCAGCTCAGCTGAAGTTCTAGCTCAATGGTTAATATTGGTCAACCGTAGTTGACAACAGTGCAAATAGAAACTCTATCAAGGAATAGCATTTTGGAGTGGCTGGAATGCTGGAAAATGGGATTTACAGTTGGAAAAATTGAATGGAAAACATCGTGGATGATCCTGGGTGGAAGAGGCACTATGGGTGTGAGTCACAAGAAACCTATTTTAGCCATGATGTAACGTCATTTACAGTTGTTTTGGGGGGTTCAATTTGGTTTCCTCTCCCTCCTTTGAATCAAAACTGGAACTCTACTATGCAAGTCACTTGTGCACTCTGTTGTGAAGTGGCATCAATTTTCTTTACAAGGGACGCCCACCTTTATCTGGCAACATATTCTGGCCAGCTGTTACAGGAGGGCATCCACAACTTAAGCAGCCTCTGCTCTCCATAGTTTCCAATCATCCTCAGACCTGCAGCAATTTTCTGGAAAACCTGTCATCTTTTCTAGCTGACTATGACCTTTGCTGCCTTGCTTTGTTCTGTCCCTTCACAGTTCTGTTCTTTTAATCCCTCTCTAGCAGCCAGTCTTTCATCCCACTACCTGCTGTAGCATTTTCAGTTCAGCTGCTTTGTCTTCTTTTTGGGATTGACAAGTATGTGGTCAACAATTACTACACAAGCCTTTATCCCACTAGGGATGGTGGGTTACACAGGTCAAATCGCATAAAATATACAAATATATAGTTGTGAATAAAATGAACTTGAGGTAATGAAGTTTATTTAACAATGCCGGCTTCATCTCAAAGTTGGCTACAATGATCTGGGATGTAGCAATGAACCTCAGCCCAGGTAGCATAGTCTCCCAAAGTTCTTTAAGGTTGCCCTTCTTTCCTTCAACCATGGTTGTTGTTTTTCAAGAGTAAAAGATGACAAAGGTGTGAAATTTGTTTCTTGTTTAGCATGCTCGTCTAACATCAATGCCTAGAAGATGTCCAATAAACCATGACCCATTCCTGATACAAGGTTCATTGGGTGATGAAAGTGTTTCTCAATCACAATCAATGTCCCAGAAAATGCGATGGGTAATCTCCGACAATAAACATGAAGCATATGAGTAAAACACTAATGTTGAAGAACAAAGAATATGATATATATCAACAATATACAATAGAGCTTATTGAAGTTACATCTAACCCAAACAAACATGGGTTTAGCTACACATGGATGAAAGAAGCAATGATACAAAACTGTAGAAACATAGTTGAGGAGATATGGAAGCACAATGGAACCTTTTCAGCATTCAAGAGAGATAGTTTGTAGGAAAAGGGGGTGCTTTTGTGAGAGTGAAATCTTGCTGGAGGTTTAATTCTCCAATTTCAGTTAAAATGTTAAGTTTCATTTCTAATTCCTTTCAGATTCCCATTTCATGACCCTGTGAATTTAACAATCTCTGGCGACTGCTTCCTTTGCTCTCAAATATTTGCTCAATCTTTTGCCTTGTTTTACAATCCTTTCCTTGCAACACTGTGATGTGATCAAGGTAAAAAACCAGTCACTGGCAAGGGTTGGGTGATGGCATGGCACCTTACTGAGTGTGATGGGTGGTTGGTTTTGAAAACTGACTGATTCTCTTGGTCTAATGCAAATCAGCCAAGTTGAATAAGTTTTTACCAGTTCAATTAGATTTTTTATTCGATTCAACACTTGAACTGGCCAGTCCAACTCAAGGATTAAAACCCCAGTTTAGAGTGGTGGCAATTCAACTAATATAAAGGCACAGTTTATTGAATATGTATTTTGGATTTTTTTATTAAGTATGCATATAACTTTATTTATTGATTTTATTATGTGATGCTGCCTTTCTGATGTGCCTCCATCTTTTCCCCAGTAAATTAAGTTTACAGCTTGTTACTTTTTCCTAGTTTCTAAATTGTGGATCAAGAAGAATGCAGTTGGAAAGCAACGGGTGGCCAAATTAGTGGAGGACACATATAGGTCAGTGCTAGAGACAACACTGTTGATGATATTTTTGTTATCTAGCTTTGTATGCTTCAGATAAATGTGAAGGGAAAAATTATTAGGAGACCGTTTGAATACTCAGTTTTAGTGCTTTGAGAGGTTCTCTACTGGAAAAAGCTCTATATTTTTGGTAGAGAAACTCTCCAAAACATTTCTATCTTGTATCCAAATAGACCATAGTTTACACATGATTTGATAACGTGTTTGTAGGTTTGTGTTATGTTGATTATTCTGGCATATGCTATGTTCTCCCTGGTTTATTATTTTCTTTCATGACTTGTGTTTTCATTTGGCCCAGAAAATTGCAGGTATCTGGGGCCATTGACCCATCATCAAAGGGACAAGGTGCCTCTGACAGTAGTAATGTGAAAATTAAAGGTGAAATTGAGGATTCCTTTCAATCAGATACAAAGATTCGCTGTCTATGTGGAAATGTATTGGATACAGAGCCATTGGTCAAGGTGTAATATTCAATATATGTTGTATATCCTTTTGATTTTTAAATTATATACCTTTTTACATGCCCCTATAATTTTATTGGTCATTTCCAACTGCCCTCTCGTTGATAACCTTTTTTTAATTAACATCTCTGGTCAACTTATGTTTGTTAATTAAATCTGGTCAACTTATGTTTGTTAATTAAAATATTTTTTCTTCTCGTCCAATTGCAGTGTGAAGATACAAGATGTCATGTGTCGCAGCACATCAACTGTGTTATTATTCCAGAGAAACCTATGGATGGAAGCACACATGTTCCTGATAAATTCTATTGTGAAATATGTCGACTTGATCGAGCAGACCCGTATGTTGTGTTCCCTTCTTATTTTAGTACAAGTGGTGGAATAAATAGTTCAAAAGTTGTATTTTTCGACATTCAGTGCTAAATATTTGTAATCTTTACTTCGGTGCCATTTTTTTTGTATTATCAAAAGCTTGTGTTTGTCAATTTATTTATTTATTTATTTCAATTTGTTGCCTATGATATCCTGTATTGGTGCAATTGACTGAGCTCTTGAGATGATAACATGGCATTATGATAACTTCATTGTTGATGATTCTTTCAGTGGCATTTTGATAGTTGTAGAGATTGTCAATTTTTGTATTTCATTCTTCTATGAATAAATTGTTGTGTCTTCTACTTATGAATAGAGATTCTAATTTCCATTATTAGGCTTCAACTTTTTATAGAATAATTTCATTTGGAGAATATGATTATGATTCTCAGATGAATGCTATGTTTGTTGTCTTTAACAATTTCCTCCTCTTCATGTGTGATATTCTCTTGTAATTTAAAGAAGCTTCCTATGCATTTATTATTTACCATTTTCTTTAACCCATGACTCAAATTGTATAATTTTCTCTTTTTTATATTTCAGGTTCTGTGTTTCAGTGACACACCTTTTGTTTCCGGTGAAGCTGACCACAACCAATATTCCCACTGATGGGTAAGAGTACATTGTGCATATTTTGTTGAAGTTAGACATAGTTTGTGACATTGTGTAACTTGTTTTGTTTGTGTTTGAGTGTGCAAGTTTGTTTTAATTATTATATGTCAATAAGAGATTTTGTCGCCTAAGTTACAATTACAACTTACCTGGATGAGGTTGATATCCTTCATTCAGGCTTGAATACTATCTGTTGAAGTATTTATTAGATTAAGTGTATCTTGTTGGACATTTATGAGATTAGTTGTAGACCTAGTTCCTAGAATGCATCTGTTTATCTTCTCTAGGATTAATCATGTCTCTATTAATTGTATCTCTGAATCTGTATTTTTATCTCCTATAAATAAGAGAACACAAGAAGATGATTTCAGGCTCTCAAAATCAGTTCTTTATTTTCTTTTTTCTATTTCAAGTTGGTATCAGAGCGGGTTCATCCCGCTCTGCCTGTCTCTATTTTTTTTCTGGCATTAATCGCCGTTCACCGTCGTCCGCCGCCGTTCGCCGCCGGTGCTGTCTTCTCCGGCGCCTTTTTCCTCTCTGACACTTGGGTTTGGCTCGCCTCGAGGAGCGCGACCCAACCCCCAGTGTTCGCTTCCTCTATCTCTGCCTCACGCGCCGCCACGCGCCACCCTCGTCCACGGCTTCCTCCGCGCGTGGGCCTCACGCGCTGCCCTCACGGTGGCTGTTTTGCTCCAGGCCACCTCTATCCGACTCGCCTCGTAGCCCTGGTGCCAGATCTGCACTTTGTTTTGTGTTCTCGGTCACAAAACGTGGTGGGTCTGCGTTTTTCTCTCTGCCTCTCTCGGTCCTCTCTCTGACAACACGCTGGTCCTTTCTTGTTTCCTGGAAAATGTCAGGACCTGTGTCTGTATCTTTTTCTGGGACTCCGACTATAACCACAGAAAAATTAAATTGAAAAAATTATTTGTCTTGGGCTTCCTTTGTTGAGCTCTGGTTTCTAGGTCAAGGAATTCATGATCATCTAGAAGAAGATGGAAGTACTATACCAGCAGATCAGGCTCCTCAATGGAAGAAACTGGATTATCAACTTTGTGCATTATTATGGCAATCTGTTGAACCACATATTTTGAGCACTCTTCGAGCCTTCAAGACATGTAATTCTTTTTGGAAAAAGGCTCAAAATATCTTTGCTAACGATATTCAACGACTTTATGATTCTGCTAATAGACTAGCCTCCCTTAAGCAAAAGAATAATTCCATGATGTCCTTTGTTGCTGAAGCTCAGTCAACTATTGAAGAATTAAAAATGTTCCTGGAGGCAGAATCATTAGAAGAAAGGAAGGCGAAGCTGGATAAATTCTATATGGTAATGATTCTTAGGGCTATGAATCCAGAGTTTAATCATGTTAGAGACCAGATTCTAACTGGAGAAGAAGTTCCTTCTACGGAGAGTTTAATCACAAGGCTACTTCGTGTTCCTTCTATCAAAAGCAAAAACAGTCAAGAACTTGCTGATTCTTCCGCCATGATTTCTGCTCGTGGAAGAGGTAATCACAGCTCTAGAGGACGTGGTGGGAAAAGACGTCCTCAGTGCTCTTATTGCAAAAGAATGAGACATACTAAGGAAAATTGCTTTGCTCTGCACGACTTTCCTGATAAGGCAGCTAATACCTCAAAATCTGAAGTTGATGAGCCCAAGTTCTCTCATGAAGAGTATCAAGAATATTTAAGGATGAAATCAACCAATTTGGCTCAAGCATCTACAACACCAAATTCGTCAACCGCTTGCATTTCGCAATCTGTGGAAAGTCAAAATCCATGGATTATTGACTTAGGTGCTTCTGACCACATGTCTGGTAATACCTCTTTATTTTCCTCTCTTTCATTTCCTAAAACATCCCATCTCATATCTTTAGCTAATGGATCTAAAGTAGCCTCTAAAGGAATTGGTCAAGTATCCATCTCTTCTTCTTTAAACCTTCAAAATGTTCTTTGTGTTCCTTTTCCATTCAGTCTTGTTTCTGTAAGCCAATTAACCAAATCATTGAATTGCTCAGTAACCTTTAATGCCAATTGTTTTGTTATCCAGGAACGTGGTACGGGTCGACTGATTGGAGAAGGACGTGAATCTGGAGGCTTATACTACCTTAGGATTAAGTCATCTGTATCTTGTGTTGCGTCCTTATCCCCAAAACTGTTACATAAGCGATTAGGGCATCCTCATTTAGCAAAATTGAAAAAAATGGTTCCTGAACTTCAGAACCTTCAAACTCTTGAATGTGAATCCTGTCAACTAGGGAAACATACCAGGTCATCCTTTCCAAATCATTCTGAATCTAGATGTGATTTTGCTTTTAGTATTGTTCATTCAAATATATGGGGACCTAGTCGTGTTTCATCTTTTGGTTTTAGATATTTTGTTACTTTTATTGATGGGTTTTCTAGATGTACCTGGGTTTATCTTATGAAAGATCGTTCTGAACTATTGCCTATCTTTAAGTCTTTCCTTAATGAAATCAAAACTCAATTTGGAAAAGTAATCAAAGTTTTACGAAGTGATAATGCCAAAGAGTAATTTTCTAATGATTTTTCTAATGTCCTAAATTCTCAAGGCATTTTACACCAGTCCACGTGTCCTCACACACCACAGCAAAATGGTATAGCAGAACGAAAAATAGACATTTGGTTGAAACTGCTCGTACCTTATTGCTGGGTGCCAATATGCCTATTCATCATTGGGGAGATGCTATTCTAAGTACATGCTTTCTCATTAATAGAATGCCATCTTTTTCTCTTGATAATAAAGTTCCACACTCTATTCTATTTCCAAGGAACCAATTTTTCATGTTTCTCCTAGGGTATTTGGATGTATATGTTTTGTTCATGACATGTCTCCTGGCTTAGATAAACTCTTACCTAGAGCTATCAAATGTGTCTTCTTGGGGTATTCTCGTCTTCAAAAAGGATATCGGTGTTATTCTCCTGAAACCAAGAGGTACTACATGTCTGCTAATGTCACCTTTTTTGAATCATCATCCTTCTTCCCTTATTCTATACAGGATATTAATTCTGTCCAAAATGTGTTTCCTGTTCCCTTAGTTGAATCAGTTGTACCTCCTATTCCTGACACCCCAAATCCCGACCAAAATACTCTAGAATCAGCATCACAGCCTATCATCACCTATCAACGCAGGAACCAGGTGAACAATCTCATTCCCCAATATGAGCCATCCATAACAGGTCCTTCACCATCATCCTCTAATACCACGACTCCTGATAACGATGACTCCAGTTGGCCCATTGCCATTTGCAAAGGTACTCGTTCTACTCGTAATCCTCATCCCATTTACAATTTTCTTAGTTATCATAGATTGTCTCCTTCCTATTGTTATTTTATTTCCTCTGTCTCCTCTATTACAATTCCCAAAAATGTGGTCGAAGCGCTTGATCATCCTGGATGGCGACAAGCCATGATTTCTGAAATGCAGGCTCTTGATCACAACAAAACATTGGAGCTTGTTTCTCTCCCTTCGGGAAAGAAAACAGTTGGTTGTCGTTGGATCTATGCTATTAAAGTTGGGCCCAATGGTCAGGTTGATCGTCTTAAAGCAAGGTTAGTGGCTAAAGGGTATTCTCAAATATATGGACTTGATTATTGTGATACTTTTTCTCCAGTAGCCAAAATGACCACTGTCCGCCTGTTCCTTGCCATGGCTGCCATTCGTCATTGGCCTTTTCATCAATTGAATATTAAAAATGCTTTTTTGCACGGTGACTTAGAAGAAGTTTACATGGAGCAACCTCCTGGATTTGTTGCTCAGGGGGAGTCTGGTTTGGTTTGTAAATTACGTCGATCCCTCTATGGCCTAAAACAATTTCCACGTGCTTGGTTTGGAAAATTCAGCTCTATTGTTCAAGCTTTTGGATTAAAACGCAGCGAAGTAGATCATTCGGTGTTTTATTGTCACATCGCCCTCGACAAACATGTTTATTTAATTGTGTACGTTGATGATATTGTCATCACAGGGAATGATGTCTGCTAAAATATCTCAGCTAAAAGAGCACATGTGTAGTCATTTTCAGACCAAGGATCTTGGAAATCTAAAATATTTCTTGGGTATTGAAGTAGCTCAATCAAGAGAAGGTATTGTCATCTCTCAAAGGAAGTATGCTCTAGATATTTTAAAAGAGACAGGTATGATTGATTGCAAACCTGTGGGCAGTCCTATGGATCCAAATTTGAAGTTAATGGCGGGACAGGGTGAAGTTTTCTCGACCCGAAAGATATAGAAGACTGGTTGGGAAACTTATTTATTTGACGATTACTAGACCTGATTTGTCTTTTGCAGTTGGTGTTGTCAGCCAATTTATGCAAGCTCCTTGTGTGAATCATTGGAATGCTATCATTCGAATCTTAAGATACATTAAAAAAGCTCCAGGACAAGGATTATTATATGAAGATAAGGGAAATACCCAAATTTTTGGGTACTGTGATGCTGACTGGGCTGGATCTCCTATGGATAGGCGTTCCACTACAGGCTATTGTGTTTTCATTGGAGAAAATATCATTTCATGGAAAAGCAAAAAGCAAAACGTTGTTGCCCGATCCTTTGCTGAAGCTGAATATAGGGCAATGGCGTCTCTTACTTGTGAACTTGTTTGGGTAAAACAATTCTTGCAAGAATTGAACTTCTGTGAGATTCAATCTATGAAGATGTATTGTGATAATCAAGCTGCTCTTTACATTGCTTCCAACCCAATATTTCATGAGAGGACTAAGCATATTGAGATTGACTGTCATTTTATTTGGGAAAAGTTGTTGACTAAAGAAATTTGTACTGAGTTTGTTGGTTCCGATGAGCAGCTTGCAGATGCATTATCAAAATCTTTGAGAGGACCTCGAATGGAATTCATTTGTTCCAAGCTTGGTACATTTAATTTGTATGCTCCAGCTTTAGGGGGAGTGTTGAAGTATTTATTAGATTAAGTGTATCTTGTTGGACATTTATGAGATTAGTTGTAGACCTAGTTCAAATGCATCTGTTTATCTTCTCTAGGATTAATCATGTCTCTCTATTAATTGTATCTCTGAATCTGTATTTTTATCTCCTATAAATAAGAGAACACAAGAAGATAATTTCAGGCTCCCAAAATCAGTTCTTTATTTTCTTTTTTCTATTTCAAGTCTATCCAATTGATTTAGGAGGTGAGGGTAGAGCTGTGTGTTATATTTAATTCCTTTCTTCTAATGCAAGTTTCATTCTGTATATGTTCTACATCAGTTGTTTTGTTCTATTCATAAGGCTACCAGTCTTAATGCTATTTCCCATATTTACGTTGTGTGAAGTAAACTTGTCTGGGTATTGAGTTTGTCTTTTTGAGGTTTATATTCTCTCAGGACATTAATCTTTTGGAACTAGATTTCCCCTCCACTTTGAGTGTTTTATTTTCTTGTCTCATGGTTTTCTTAAGATTATCAAATCCATCACAGATTTATCATATAATGTTGCTGAAACTTATTTTTAATTGAACATTCTGCTTGAATGGTTTAATTATATTTGTGTTTGAATTGTTCAGAACCAACCCAGTTCAGAGTGTGGAAAGAACGTTTCAACTCACAAAGGCAAACAAGGAATTGGTATCAAAACCAGAATATGATGTTCAGGTTGGTGTGATTTAGTGCTAGTAGTTTAATGCATAACTTGCTATCTAGGTGTTTGTTAATGTATATAATTCTTTCATATTCAGGCTTGGTGTATGCTTTTGAACGACAAGGTTTCATTCAGGATGCAATGGCCACAATATACAGATCTAAAGGTCAATGGTATGTTTTCAATTCTTGATTTACTCACTTTTTTAAGCTTCCTTTTGAGACTTTTGTTTCATGTTTTGGGTCTTACTTTAGTTTGCACATCAAATTATTATGTGTGATTAGAAGAACGTATTTGTAAGTAAAATATCCAAATTTCTTCATGGAATCCATGACTTGTGCTTGAATTGAATTTTTCTCATTGATTTTAACTTTATACCTGTAGGTCTTCCTGTTCGTGCAATTAACAGACCTGGTTCACAGTTGCTTGGGGCTAATGGTCGTGACGCTGGTTCAAATGTGAGTTTATTATCTTCCATTGATTATAACTTCAGAAATTTATGTTATATTTTTTTCTGTGCCTTTGTGGAATGTAGATATTTGTGTTTGAATACTGGTTTTTGTCCAATCTTTTCAGCATTTCTAATTAAACTTCATTCATATTAATTTTATTCAATTTCTTATTTTATTTCTCCTCTGTCAGATCACACCATATTCAAAGGACGGAATTAATAGGATTTCCTTAACAGTGTTGGATGCTCGCATATTCTGTTTAGGGGTCCGTATTATTAAAAGGCTCACCATGCCAGAGGTAGATTGCATTCTAAACTTGGCTACTTTCTAAGTAGAGTATTCTGGCTGACTTTTGGTTTCTTCAGTCTAAAGCTTTTTGGAATAGTCAAGGTTGCTTTCCAAACTTGCCTTACTTTTCAATTATAGTATTCTGGCTGACTTTTGGTTCCTTCAATCCAAGCTTATTGGAACAGTCAAGTTTGATGTAAGGAATCTCCTTATTTGGCAAGGTTGTTTTAATCAATCTGCATTTTGGTCATACCAAAATTTGTTTTTTTGACGAAGTTTTGGTGTTTTCAAACAAAGCAGAAATGTATTATACTGTCAATATTTTACCTATCGTTCATATATGTTTAAATGTGATCTAAATTGTGTTTGCCCTTCTGTCAATCATTTAAATGTGGAGAAGATGTGTTCATCGATTATACTGGGAGTGGCATTACTACAATGTCTAATTACTAAAGTTTCTTTAATGTAAAAAGAAATTGTATTATACAAAAGCAAAGGAAAACCCAAGGAGTTGAGGATAAGGTATCCTCTAGAACAGGTGAAAGTACAAGGGATAAAACAGATGAAAGGATATTATAACCTGTTTTGTTTAAGGAAATGTGTTTTGTTTCCGTTTTGTAAAAAAAGAATCAGTATTTTCAGTATGCATCCTGTTTGCAATGATTGTTTAGGAAATATTGAAAATAAAATGACATTTATAATAATGAATGGGAACAAAACACATTTTTCTAAATCAAACAGGTTCTTCGATGATGCAACAATCAAGGTTATCAAATCTCTGTATTAGACAATCCCAAATCTCAACAGTTACTCAAAGTAGAGCATCAAGAATTAGTTAGAGAAGTGGCAGGGCTGCTTGGCTTAATTAGGAGTAGAAGGGAATGGTATTGAGTTTTGTTAGCATTACGTTAAGAGAGCAGTGTCGAAGCATAGTTGTAAGGGGAAACCCTGAGATATAATTCAATTTTCTCCTTGTTTTGTTGTTTTTCAGTCAACCATGAAATCACTCTTTTCCATTGTCCATTTCTGTTCTGGGTTTCTATTACTGTTGGAGCTACTACACTATTGAAAGAACCACACACAAGCATCAAAAGAAATATATGAAACCTTATCCTTTTGATAGATAAAATTTAATTCATGATGGATATGACATTCATATCTATCTTCTGTTGAAATGCCTTTGGAATGAAAGTTTAATTTTTGAAGTCTATATCTTCATTTACTATTATTTTTACATATGCATTATTGTCCAATAATGCTGTAAAATTAATGACTTATTCTCTGGTATCTAGGTTCTAAGCATGATTCCAGAGGAGTCTGATGGTGAGCGTTTCGAAGATGCTCTTGCACGTGTTTGCTGTTGTGTTGGGGGCGGAAATGCAAATGATAATGCTGATAGTGATAGTGATTTGGAAGTGGTTTCAGATACTTTTAGCATCAATCTCCGTTGCCCTGTAAGGCTTTCATGTGATGGATTATTTATTTACTGTGGAGTTTTATCATTCACTTCCTGACGTCTTGTAAATTTTGTACGCTTCTTAAATTTATAGATGAGTGGTTCAAGAATGAAGATTGCAGGAAGATTCAAACCTTGTGTTCACATGGGCTGTTTTGATCTTGAAGTTTTTGTTGAAATGAATGAACGATCAAGGAAGGTATGATTCTATAAAGTTGAGCATGGTTTGTTGGATACCTTTTTTTAGAAAAAATGTTTGATGAAGTGTTAATTCTTTATGCAGTGGCAATGCCCTATATGCCTTAAAAATTATGCTTTGGAGAATATCATTATTGACCCGTACTTCAATCGCATCACTTCTCTGGTAGTGTTTTTCCCCTTTGATCTTTATTTCTCTCTTCTTAAAGCTTATTGTTGAGTTCGTTGACTGAGTAATTACATATACTGGTTTGCTAAACAGATGAAAAATTGTGGAGAAGAGATTACAGAGGTTGAGGTGAAGCCTGATGGTTTTTGGCGTGTCAAGGTTAAGAATGAAAGTGAACGCCGGGAGTTGGGGACTCTTGCTCAATGGCACCGTCCTGATGGATCCCTCTTTGTTTCTACTGATGAAATAAAGAGAATGGAAAGTTTAAGGCTCAAACAGGAAGGTGTTTCAGATGGTCCTATTGGTTTAAAGCTTGGCATCAGGAAGAATAGTAATGGTGTTTGGGAAGTCAGCAAACCTGAGAATACAAACACCTCTTCTGGTATTAATAGATTGAATGAGGATTTTAAAAATGATGAACATGTTATTATTCCAATGAGCAGCAGTGACACTGGAAGTGGCCGGGATGAAGATGATCGAAGTGTAAATCAGGGTGTTGGTGGGCATATTGATTTTTCTACTGCCAATGGTATTGAGATGGATTCTGTGTTTAACAATAATATTGATTCAGCTTATGGATATTCTGTTCATAATGCATCTGCTCCAATGGGTGATGCAGAAGTTATTATTCTTAGTGATTCAGAAGAAGAAAACGATGTGATGATGTCTCCTACTCCTATAACTGGGTACAATAATAATCAAACTAGTGCTCCAGTTGATGTTTACTCCGTGCTGGAGCCTGTAATTATTGATTCATATACGGAAGATCAGAACCCTGGTGGAAATGCAGGCTTGGGAGTTTTTAATAATCATCCCAGTGAAGATGATTTTGGGATGTCCTCCCTCTGGCCATTGCAATCTGGAACTCCAGCAGTTTCTGGATTCCAATTATTTAGCTCTGAAGTGGAGGATGTATCAGATACGTTGGCTGGTTTGCAGAATGGTAATATGAATTGCTCGTCATCACTGCATGGTTATATGTTGGCCCCAGATAATGTTATGGGATCTAGCACTCTTGCACCAGAATCATCAGTAGTGCGACCTGATGATGATTTACATGGTGGCTTGGTTGACAATCCTCTGGCATTTCCCAGAGAAGATCCCTCCCTTCAGATTTTTCTTCCTACAAAACCAGCAGAATCATCTATGCAGCATGAATTGCGTGATCATGCAGATGTATCAAACGGTGTCTTCACTGAGGATTGGATCTCTCTTAGTCTTGGAGGTGGTGCCACTGGCAGTAATGGTGACACTTCAACGGCAAATGGATTGAATTCCAGATCGCAAATTACATCCAGAGAAGATGCCATAACTTTGACAGATACTGGTTTGTTACTCTTGGCCTATAGCTTTTGTCACTATTTTTTATTTTGGATGAATTATTTGTCCACAGGAGTACTGATTTTAGCTGGAGAAATCATTTTGTTCAACTTTCATATTATGTTTTTATTTGAGAAATTTTAGTTACACACAAACACATGTAGATTAATATCGTCCATATTTTTCAAGTGACAAACAACCATTTACTTATTCTACAAAAGCAATTATAAGCCGCCATAAGGAATAAAGGAATTCTCAAAATAACAATTTATTTTCTCCAAGACAATTCTTATGCTGTTCCTCCGTCATGCAGCTTTTTACTCCTTCTGTTTATGAACAATTGAACATGCATTTATTAGGTTCTTGAGAAAGAAAGACTCTTAATTCTATTGCATATATCAGTAACAATTTTCTGAGCTCAATTTCAAGTTATTCTTGAGACTGTAACTGATTATCGGAACTTTGTATATTTCATTTTCTTTTCATGAAGCATTGTTCTTATTTATGGTGTTTAGACACCTTGAATTAATTTGTTGAAACTTCAGAGACTTCTTTTGAGTTTGTTGTTTGAAATGGGGCAGTATATTTGTTTTGTATATGTTGAAGTATTTATTAGATTAAAAGTATCTTGTTGGACATTTATGAGATTAGTTGTAGATCTAGTTCCTAGAATGCATCTGTTTATCTTCTCTAGGATTAATCATGTCTCTCTATTAATTGTATCTCTGAATCTGTATTTTTATCTCCTATAAATAAGAGAACACAAGAAGATGATTTCAGGCTCTCAAAATCAGTTCTTTATTTTCTTTTTTCTATTTCAAGTTGGTATCAGAGCGGGTTCATCCCGCTCTGCCTGTCTCTGTTTTTTTTCTGGCATTAATCGCCGTCCGCCGCCGTTCGTCGCCGGTGTTGTCTTCTCCGGCACCTTTTTCCTCTCTGATACTTGGGTTTGGCTCGCCTCGAGGAGTGCGACCCAACCCCAGTGTTCGCTTCCTCTATCTCTGCCTCACGCGCCACCCTCGTCCGCGGCTTCCTCCGCGCGTGGGCCTCACGCGCCGCCCTCTCGGTGGCTGTTTTGCTCCAGGCCACCTCTATCCGGCTCGCCTCGTCGCCCTGGTGCCAGATCTGCACTCTGTTTTGTGTTCTCGGTCACAAAACGTGGTGGGTCTGCGTTTTTTCTCTCTGCCTCTCTCGGTCCTCTCTCCGACAGCACGCTGGTCCCTTCTCGTTTCCTGGAAAATGTCGGGATCTCGTATCCGTATCTTTTCTCGGGACTCCGACTATAACCACAGAAAAATTAAATGGGAAAAATTATTTGTCTTGGGCTTCCTCTCGTTGAACTCTGGTTTCTAGGTCAAGGAGTTCATGATCATCTAGAAGAAGATGGAAGTACTATACCAGCGAGACCAGGCTCCTCAATGGAAGAAACTGGATTATCAACTTTGTGCACTATTATGGCAATCTGTTGAACCACATATTTTGAGCACTCTTCGAGCCTTCAAGACATGTAATTCTTTTTGGAAAAAGGCTCAAAATATCTTTGCTATTGATATTCAACGACTTTATGATTCTGCTAATAGACTAGCCTCCCTTAAGCAAGAGGATAATTCCATGATGTCCTTTGTTGCTGAAGCTCAGTCAGCTGTTGAAGAATTAAAAATGTTTCTGGAGGCAGAATCATTAGAAGAAAGGAAGACGAAGCTGGATAAATTCTATATGGTAATGATTCTTAGGGCTATGAATCCAGAGTTTAATCATGTTAGAGACTAGATTCTAACTGGAGAAGAAGTTCCTTCTACGGAGAGTTTAATCACAAGGTTACTTCGTGTTCCTTCTATCAAAAGCAAAAACAGTCAGGAACTTGCTGATTCTTCCGCCATGATTTCTGCTCGTGGAAGAGGTAATCACAGCTCTAGAGGACGTGGTGGGAAAGGACGTCCTCAGTGCTCTCATTGCAAAAGAATGGGACATACTAAGGAAAATTGCTTTGCTCTTCACGGCTTTCCTGATAAGGCAGCTAATACCTCAAAATCTGAAGTTGATGAGCCCAAGTTCTCTCATGAAGAGTATCAAGAATATTTAAGGATGAAATCAACTAATTTGGCTCAAGCATCTACAACACCAAATTCGTCAACCGCTTGCATTTCGCAATCTGTGGAAAGTCAAAATCCATGGATTATTGACTCAGGTGCTTCTGACCACATGTCTGGTAATACCTCTTTATTTTCCTCTCTTTCATTTCCTAAAACATCCCATCTCATATGTTTAGCTAATGGATCTAAAGTAGCCTCTAAAGGAATTGGTCAAGTATCCATCTCTTCTTCTTTAAACCTTCAAAATGTTCTTTGTGTTCCTTCTTTTCCATTCAGTCTTGTTTCTGTAAGCCAATTAACCAAATCATTGAATTGCTCAGTAACCTTTAATGCCAATTGTTTTGTTATCCAGGAACGTGGTACGGGTCGACTGATTGGAGAAGGACATGAATCTGGAGGCTTATACTACCTTAGGACTAAGTCATCTGTATCTTGTGTTGCGTCTTTATCCCCAAAACTGTTACATGAGCGATTAGGGCATCCTCATTTAGCAAAATTGAAAAAAATGGTTCCTGAACTTCAGAACCTTCAAACTCTTGAATGTGAATCCTATCAACTAGGGAAACATACCAGGTCATCCTTTCCAAATCATTCTGAATCTAGATGGGATTCTGCTTTTAGTATTGTTCATTCAGATATATGGGGACCTAGTCGTGTTTCATCTTTTGGTTTTAGATATTTTGTTACTTTTATTGATGGGTTTTCTAGATGTACTTGGGTTTATCTTATGAAAGATCGTTCTGAACTATTGCCTATCTTTAAGTCTTTCCTTAATGAAATCAAAACTCAATTTGAAAAAGTAATCAAAGTTTTACGAAGTGATAATGCCAAAGAGTACTTTTCTAATGATTTTTCTAATGTCCTAAATTCTCAAGGCATTTTACACCAGTCCACGTGTCCTCACACACCACAGCAAAATGGTATAGCAGAACAAAAAAATAAACATTTGGTTGAAACTGCTCGTACCTTATTGCTGGGTGCCAATATGCCTATTCATCATTGGGGAGATGCTATTCTAACTGCATGCTTTCTCATTAATAGAATGTCATCTTCTTCTCTTGATAATAAAGTTCCACACTCTATTCTATTTCCAAAGGAACCAATTTTTCATGTTTCTCCTAGGGTATTTGGATGTATATGTTTTGTTCATGACATGTCTCCTGGCTTAGATAAACTCTTACCTAGAGCTATCAAATGTGTCTTCTTGGGGTATTCTCGTCTTCAAAAAAGATATCGGTGTTATTCTCCTGAAACCAAGAAGTACTACATGTCTGCTAATGTCACCTTTTTTGAATCATCATCCTTCTTCCCTTATTCTATGCAGGATATTGATTCTGTCCAAAATGTGCTTCCTGTTCCCTTAGTTGAATCAGTTGTACCTCCTATTTCTGACCAAAATACTCTAGAATCAGCATCACAGCCTATCATCACCTATCAACGCAGGAACCAGGTGAACAATCCCATTCCCCAAGATGAGCCATCCATAACAGGTCCTTCACCATCATCCTCTAATACCACGGCTCCTGATAATGATGATTCCAGTTGGCCCATTGCCATTCGCAAAGGTACTCGTTCTACTCGTAATCCTCATCCCATTTACAATTTTCTTAGTTATCATAGATTGTCTCCTTCCTATTGTTCTTTTATTTCCTCTGTCTCCTCTATTACAATTCCCAAAAATGTGGTCGAAGCGCTTGATCATCACTGGATGGCGACAAGCCATGATTTACGAAATGCGAGGCTCTTGATCACAGCAAAACTTGGGAGCTTGTTCCTCTCCCTTCGGAAAGAAAACGAGTTGGTTGTCGTTGGATCTATGCTATTAAAGTTGGGCCCAATGGTCGGGTTGATCGTCTTAAAGCAAGGTTAGTGGCTAAAGGGTATTCTCAAATATATGGACTTGATTATTGTGATACTTTTTCTCCGAGTAGCCAAAATGACCACTGTCTCGCTCTGTTCCTTGCCATGGCCGCCATTCGTCATTGGCCTCTTCATCAATTGGATATTAAAAATGCTTTTTTGCACGGTGACTTAGAAGAAGAAGTTTACATGGAGCAACCTCCTGGATTTGTTGCTCGGGGGAGTCCGGTTTGGTTTGTAAATTACGTCGATCCCTCTATGGCCTAAAACAATCTCCACGGGCTTGGTTTGGAAAATTCAGCTCTATTGTTCAAGCTTTTGGATTAAAACGCAGTGAAGCGAGATCATTCGGTGTTTTATTGTCACACTTGCCCCTGGCAAACATGTTTATTTAATTGTGTACGTTGATGATATTGTCATCACGGGGAATGATGCTTGCTAAAATATCTCGGTTAAAAGAGCACTTGAGTAGTCATTTTCGGACCAAGGATCTTGGAAATCTAAAATATTTCTTGGGTATTGAAGTAGCTCAATCAAGAGAAGGTATTGTCATCTCTCAAAGGAAGTATGCTCTAGATATTCTAAAAGAGACAGGTATGATTGATTGCAAACTCGTGGACGAGTCCTATGGATCCAAATTTGAAGTTAATGGCGGGACAGGGTGAAGTTTTCTCGACCCGAGAAAGATATAGAAGATTGGTTGGGAAACTTATTTATTTGACGATTACTAGACCTGATTTGTCTTTTGCGGTTGGTGTTGTCGACCAATTTATGCAAGCTCCTTGTGTGGATCATTGGAATGCTATCATTCGAATCTTAAGATACATTAAAAAAGCTCCGGGACAAGGATTATTATATGAAGACAAGGGAAATACCCAAATTTTTGGGTACTGTGATGCTTGACTGAGCTGGATCTCCTATGGATAGGCGTTCCACTACGAGGCTATTGTGTTTTCATTGGAGGAAATATCATTTCATGGAAAAGCAAAAAGCAAAACGTTGTTGCCCGATCCTCTGCTGAAGCTGAATATAGGGCAATGGCGTCTCTTACTTGTGAACTTGTTTGGGTAAAACAATTCTTGCAAGAATTGAACTTCGTGAGATTCAATCTATGAAGATGTATTGTGATAATCAAGTTGCTCTTCACATTGCTTCCAACCCGAGTATTTCATGAGAGGACCAAACATATTGAGATTGACTGTCATTTTATTCGGGAGAAATTGTTGACTAAAGAAATTTGTACTGAGTTTGTTGGTTCCAATGAGCAGCTTGCAGATGCATTAACAAAATCTTTGAGAGGACCTCGAATGGAATTCATTTGTTCCAAGCTTGGTACATTCAATTTGTATGCTCCAGCTTGAGGGGGAGTGTTGAAGTATTTATTAGATTAAAAGTATCTTGTTGGACATTTATGAGATTAGTTGTAGATCTAGTTCCTAGAATGCATCTGTTTATCTTCTCTAGGATTAATCATGTCTCTCTATTAATTATATCTCTGAATCTGTATTTTTATCTCCTATAAATAAGAGAACACAAGAAGATGATTTCAGGCTCTCAAAATCAGTTCTTTATTTTCTTTTTTCTATTTCAAGTGTATAATTCTATTAGTCTTCTGCATCATATCTTTGTCTAATTCAACTCATAAGATGAAAGCAATTGCATAAAAGGAAATATTGGCAACTGGAGATATGCTTAATGATGCTTGAAGCAGTTCTATGAACTAATTGGGTCAATGGAATTGCTTATGTTAATATGAATTGCATTCCTATCCTGTTTATAAGTTTTACAATCATAAACCATCATTGGCTAGTATTTTCTGTTGTGTAAAGACAAAAGTCTTTATTGCTTTCTAGGTTTTCATTATTTTATTTGTTTTCAGGAATTATTTTGTTAGAAAGAGAGAGAAGGACGAAGAAAGAGGGATATAATCTATTTTATGGAGACCTCTTCTTAAAAATGACCTCTAACAAAATTACCTCTAACATGTATAATTTCTTTTCTTCCGGCTAAAACCTTAATGGTTGCTTAGTGAACCTTGAAAACCTCTTGACTCAAAATGTTAGCTGTGATTGTGCATTTTTTTCTGGTTGTCTCCTTCCTTGTGTTTTGTTCAACAATTTGCTTATTACAGACAATATGCTTTGCTGGTTTGACTATATTCAACTTTTAACCCTGTGATTCTTTTATGAAAGTTATATTTTTCTCCTCCTCTTGACTCAAAATGTTAGCTGTGATTGTGCATTTTTTTCTGGTTGTCTCCTTCCTTGTGTTTTGTTCAACAATTTGCTTATTACAGACAATATGCTTTGCTGGTTTGACTATATTCAACTTTCAACCCTGTGATTCTTTTATGAAAGTTATATTTTTCTCCTCCCTTTATTGACTCACCATGCCTCCTTATGCAGCTCCTTTACTTCTTGGTATCAATGATGTTAGATCTGACAAGTCAAGTAGGAAAAGGTCGGAATCAGATAGCCCTTTCTCATTTCCCCGCCAAAAACGTTCAGTAAGGCCCCGCCCGTATCTTTCTATTGATTAAGATTCCGAGTAGAGGTATTAGACCTTGTGTATGTATTAACTCTAGATACCCTTCTTAACGCCCCATTTTGTATTTAGAAACTGAAGAAAGTTGAGCAGCATTTTTGGTCCTCAGGAAATGGAAGATGATGTGGTCTGAGGCACCTCTTGTATTATTTCTCCATTGGTGGTGAGGGTGTTGACTGCAAAGTTTCTCAATTTTTTATGCTTGATATTCAAGTTGTCCATATGACATACTGAAAGGGTCAGGGGCATGCTATTATTCCCCAGTTCAGCCAGGAACTGATGGTACTAGTATAGTGCTGTAAAGATTATTATATCTGCAATTTTGTTCCTGCTGAGAGTAATTAATCTGTAAATGTTAAGCCAGCAGATTTAATAGTAAAATCAAAAATAGTATAATCTTATTCACACCCAGGTAGTCACCCAATTTTGTAATATATGGTTGCCAATATTTGTAATATATTTAGGCATTAGAGTTGCCTCTAGAATTGTATATCCTGGTGAGGATAAACATATTTCCTGTCTGCAAGTCTGCACAGCTGGAGTAGAGTAGTTGTAATATGACCTTCAATATAGCGGAGTTTGTTAGCCATCGGATAGATGTTGTTAGACAAGTTGTGATATCTTATCTCTCAGGATTCTGTTGCTCAAGGTGGAAGTTAATTTTAAATGTACGGATAGATCATCGGCCTGTTTGGGAACCGGGAAACAAAACAAGGATTGTGTTATAAAATTCTAACTTGTTTTAATTGATGTTCTAGTTTAGTCTAAAGGAGGTACTTTATTTAGTCAAAGTTCTACCTTTTTCTATATTATTTTCTTGGGCCATTTCAACTGTGCTACACCATTTCTCATCTTGAAAATTAAAATGCTAAATTACTTAAAAATTCTGCCATGTTTTTTAGAAAACAAAATTTATAATGCGTGTTTATTTGACAGTAAATTTTTTTTTTAACGTTTTTCATGAAAATATTGTGTGAAATGTACACTCCTTGTAAATAGTTGATGTTTTTTTAATTTTTTCATTAATAATTGGTGTGAAATTTATACTCCTTAAAATAGTTAAGATTTTTTACGTTTCTCATGAATAATTTGTCTGGAATTTATGCTCTTTGTAATGGTACATCAAAACTACCTTCAAATGTCGCCGTTCCACTTGTCACTAGCGGGTGGCTATCGTTAATGGACTCATTGGTAGAAGGAAATATTCCATATTTATTTTATTATTTATATTTATACAATGTTATCTAGGTTTCATTTTGTAAGTTTGATATTTCTTACATGTTTTGGTGATACCTTGAAGACGCCCTCACGGCAACATGAACTAAATTTATTTGCATCGTGAATTTCAATGTAAAATCATTATGCTTTAATCGTTTATACTTTTTCTATGGAATGATTTTCTATCTAAAATCGTTCTAGCGATTTTGTTCTAAATAAACCATGATTTCCTGTGCTAATGTTTACATTCTCTCGGTTCTACAAGGATCCTGCCCGTGAAAGTATATTAGATATGAAACCAATCACATCTAATAACAATTTCTGGAGTTTGGACTTGATTTGACTAACCATGGACAAAATTAGATGAAATGTTTTTTTTTTCCCATTATCTAATTAGAATTTCAGTTTAACTTTTGTTATTTATGCTGGTTTTTAAAGCAATTTTTTAACGTACAGTATACATATATACATATATATATATATATATATATATATATATATATATACATATATATATATATACATATATATATATATATATACATATATATATACATATATATATATATATACACATATATATATACATATATATATATATATATATATATATATATATATGTATGTATGTATGTATAGACGTTGTGTGTTAGTTTTTGCATTTTCTTTTCTCTGTATGCATGTATAATGGTTACTTAGAGTAAATTACAGTGATTTAAACAAATTACGCGGGTCCCCTCATTTTTTTTTTCACATTACAGAAAACCCCTTCCATAAACGTCGTTCAACTAACATTAAGTAAACAATTTTGTTAAAATACAAAAGGCATATATATATATATATATATATATATATAACTGTTTTAGTATTCCATCTCTACCCATTCATCACTATTTGCAATCACTTCCTCTTGTTTGGGATGTTGATAATTGGTTTCCTTGTTTAAGTAAGATTTCTCTTTTACTTAATGTGCGGAAGTAGAACTCAATTGGTGTATCACATGATGTGGTTTTGCTCAATGCAGGGAGCGGTTTGACTGTTCCTAGCCGTCTATGTATATTACATACGTAGGCTTGTAAGAGGAAGAATCTATGAACAAAAAACCCAAGCACCCGAAAGTAATTTCCAGTGAGCGATGGTAAAAGTAGAAAGGAAGATGAAATCAGTGAAACAAAGGGACTCTTGTTAATAGAACCCGCAGCCAGTATCCTCCAACGTTTTGAACCTTTCGGCTTCAGGGGTCACTGTCCAACCAACCCTATGCGTCTTCAAGTTTTAAGGTTGAAGGGGAGGGCATTTTGGTCAACAAATTTCATTAAAACGAATGTGACAACCACATCCCTTATCAACCTTAAGCTTTCCACACTGTCAAATGAAAAGGAAAATTTTAACTGAAACAGAACTTTTAAAGGGTCTTTTATAATATGATAAGAGGGAGGTCCGTACAAATTATTTAAACCTTATGGAACTTTTCTATAATTTACTCTAGAATTTAAACGGGGAAGCACAACTTTTTTTTCCCTGAGAGTTCTAGTTTTTACTGTTGGAACGTTATGATTTGAATATACTACACCAATTAGTTCGTATGTTAAAAGATTTGAATAACACCAATCCTAAAAGATGAGATTTTATTGATACAGAATCACTGGTTTTTTTTCAGACATATGGTCAGAATTTCATCTGGTTCTACTAATGAAAAAATACGCAATCTAGACAGTTTACATGATTTTTTTTTTCTTTTTGTGGTGGGGAAACTTCAGTTTCCAACTGAAAACAGAAAGGCCTGTCAAAACATAAACTATAATATAAGCAATTGTTCTGTCGCTATGGATTATCCTGAAATTGGTGGCCTCGTTTCTAAAACTATCCACCATTTTTTAAGGGCAAGCTAAAACTGCAAACATGTGATATTATTTTTCTTTTGATGGATGCAACATTGATATTTCGGCAATGAAGCGATCAGGGTTGCCTTTGTTTTTTAAAATCGTGACCAGGCCATCGCACAAGGTTGGACCCAAGCTGTTTTCATTAGACCATCACCATGACAATCTTGGACGACACAATTATTACTCCAGATTACGTTATTTAGCAATGGTTTTACATAGTGGCAGGCAATATGGCCCTTGTTCAGCAAGTTTAGAGGGCACGATTTTCAATCTACTTTTTTTTGCTCCTACCTTGTTGATCTTAGCTCAAAGATGGTAATTGCTCGTGGTATCAATCAACATATGCGCAAAATAGTATTGATCATATAGCATAAAAGTAGGCGAACAACACCTTAAGATAACCCTGAAACTAGATTCTAACCACTGTTGGAGAAGAATCAGGCTGGCCCACGGAGGAAGACTTTGAAGCCTCAATCATCACTGGTGCCTGTTCCAAACAACTCTGGGTATCATCATTGAGCATCCCAATTGTCATCTTCTCCACTTCTTCTTGTGTATGTATATGAATCTTCGATACCACATCGCAGAACTCACTGCAGACAAAAGGAAAAATGCAAATTTTCAGAGTATTTCACGTAGAATGTTACATAATAGGATGGAAAAGGTATGAGGTATTGTCGGTCCCATCAGTTAATTGTGTACAATAAGGCGATGATGATGCATATGATAACTGACTAAAAGGTGGCAAAGCTGCATTTGAACAAATAAGAGTCAAGGAAGATGACTACATACTGCCACGGGTCATCCCCCACAACCATAATGTCATTTTCACTGTCAGTGTACAGGATTCTCCATCCCTTGTTAGGATCTATTAGAAGGCCTTCCATGCTAAATAGTCTCTCTAGTTCAATCAGCAGGTCATTGTAGCTGCTCAGTCTTGAGAGATCAATGGCTCTTCCAACTAAGCTACCTTGCTTGTGAACCTTCATTCAGTGTTATGTTACATGTGTAGGCAAATTGTCAAAGAGAAAAAGGCATATCACAATATAACTCTGTTGCTATCATCGCTCACCTTTGTGCAACTTCGTTTAGCTGAGTTCTGTATATTTTGGGTGGTGGTTTCCCCGGACAAGGGAAATCCAAATAGTTTACAAGCATTTACCTTCCCCTTGATATTGTCATCATTTGGAATCCTCATGTTCGCCCCTAAAGAAGAAGCACCAGAAATATTGTCCTGCAGCTTCTGCTCATTTGGGATTGTAACATCTGACTGTCCATCTTCATTTCTCATGATCCTTGACTGTGAGGAAGGAGAGTTAAATGGGACACTCTCTCTTTGGAAATTGGTGGGTTTAGAGCACAACATGCCGGTGCCGCTACCTTGTCCAACTTTGTGAATATCACCATAAGGAAAATATGCAGTTTGAATAACTTCTGGTCCTAGAGAGTGAAAGTTAGGTTTGGTTGCCTGATGCAGGTTGTAATTTGTGCAATTGACACTGGGTTTGCCCCAGGCACCAAAGTTTAAATCAGCCTTTCCTGTCAGCGATCTAAATTGACATATTTCTTGACTTTGCAAGATCCTTGGAAACCTGTTAGTTTCCGTGAAGCCTGCATAACTAGAAGGGTGAACCCTCATAAACTCAGCAGCAGCAATCTTTCTCACTCCAGTTGATGCAAGATTAGGATGACTTGGAGATCTGATATCAAATTCTGGCTGCTTAGTTACCGTGTCACATCCATAATATAGTGACATAAAACCTGAATTTTCTTGACCTTGCAAGACCTTGGATGATCTTATAGACTCCTCAGAGTCCATAAATCCACTGCCTCCTGCTGCCAAACCTCCCATGCAGAAGCCACAAAATAAATAAACAGAGGACAATTAGGATGCATGAAGTTTACTGATTTAAGGTACTTTGACTATCTCAGAGCATTAGGATGTGTTTTATACCAGTGATGAGGTGACTGTGTGGTGAGGCAGCCTGCAGACCTGGCCTTAATTTCTTCAGCCTTCTGGAGGATTGAATGCTCAAGGGAGGGAGAGACGCAGAAGGATCGATTTCCCAAGGAGATACTCTATCTTGATGATTAATCTCGACATCCTCATCCCATCTGACCTGTTGGATATCACAGTAACACAAACTATCATCATTTGTTCTGTAGTAAAGTACTGTGTTAAAATTTTAAAGCACTAACTAGCTTCCTAGAGCCTGAAATGAAAAGTCTACCCTGGATCTAATGATGCATGTCAAACAGTTTAGAGTGAAATCTAGCCAATAGATTAGTATATTATGCGTGAAGAATAAATTGTGCTAGCATGTTTTATGAATTTTAATTAGAATGCGTTGAGAGTGTAAAGATTCTTTACTGTCATTCAATTGTTATGAATAATAGGTCTGTTGACTACTATAATAACTATTTTAGAAGTTATAATTAAGATAAGTTTTACAAGATAACATAAATTTTTCCCTGAAAATGCATGAAAGTTAAACATAGAAATTATGAGGAAAAGGGATCAGATTTTTCAGTGGTTCCAAATAAAGTGGCGTTACAATATTTCTCAACAGAAAAAGAAAAGTGATAAAAATGAATATATATAAATAAAAAACCTCACATGAAAATGCATTATTGGTAAATCGATTGATGAAGCATATGCTTCAATAGCAAAGTGTTGAAGATAAAAATCAAGAGCAAATGTAAGGATAAAATATACTGCATAGTATAACTAGATTCTAAGAAAAAATAGCAGTTGTACCATCAAGCACCTCCATTTTGACTTAGGCCATTTATAGGGATCCAAATCACTCATTCCAGTCACTATACCACTAGTACACCTGCAACACAGGAAGAAAATGTCATATTCCTCAAGATTATTTTCCTTTTACTGTTCATGGTAGATAATGGTTAAAGTTTAATAACTATGATGTAGTTGACCTTCTTTCCGGAGATTCATCCATTTCAAATCTCATTTTGAATCTTGTCCCAATGGTCACTGGATTCTTTATGCTTTTGACATATTTTTGGTAGGGAACAACAAAATCCGCATGACTTGCTCTGTATTATACCAAATTCAAACAAGTTACAATTTGTTGCTCATGAGTACGCTGAAATCTTTTATCAAACAAGATACAGATAAACCTCTTCACATAAAAGGATCCTATTGGCAAATGAACAGTCAAACAAATTTCAAGAATTTCACCATAGACTACTTACTATTTAACACAGCACAACATCATCCAGATGATAGATAAGAATACATTGGCTGATAATTGATTAAGCTTACTTGTCTGTTTCTGAACATTAATCCCTTACTTTAACAATTTGACAAGGATGAAAAACCTTTAACCTATGAAGTCTCTTATAGTCACAGTATCATATTGAAAGAATAACAGATAACTAGGAGACATTAAATAAACATGTGAGCTATCTATCTTGCACTTCTTTGTAAGAACCAGTGCTTTTATGCTGTGCTTACTCTTTTCTTGTGAACTAGAATATACTATCACTTCACTTTCATTATAACTAACAGTTGATTAATAACTGAAAGATAAGTTAACTGATATACACCAAATTGATGTTTCATTCATAATTGCCATAACAAAATAACAATCAAAGGCTAAATAATAATTTGAGAGTGAACTTCAAATATTTTGCAAAATGAAAAATCCTGACCCATAAATGTAGTACCTTGGACTGTAGAAAACATGAAACATGCTTTTGTCGGATATAGCGTTGGCCACAGAAGACAGGAAATTGGGATAATGATTCTGGCTACCAACAATTGATTCAGGAAGACCATTTCTTGGTCGAGCAGCTCTTCGGATTCCCATTCTCAATTCTCCATTTTCACCCCTACGAAGATATTAATAAGCAATAAGTAACCACCACAATAATATTATTATCACTCATTCTCCACGCTTCCTTGTGAAGAAAAAACTTCAGAGATTTAGAGATATGTTTGTTAAGTTTAATTCAGTGTTCTTGATTTCCTAAAATAAAGAAGAGTGTTTCCAATAACATAACCAATTCTTTTGACTTGTATTTGAGTCGAGCTTAGTAGCGACAATGAATATACACTGAAAGAAAAACAACATAACATCGATTGCTAAAATAATATACAAAAAAAAAATACATATCAATACCAATAGTAGACATGAACGTTCAATATAAAGTTTTAACATCTTAATCAATAAAAAAAAAATCATCTTTTGGTATAACTTTTAATGTAATTATTTTAAGAATCCAACAAACTTATTATTGACAACAATTTGTAAGTGAGTGGCTGATACTGTGACTGTATAAAAAGTCTTTACACTATGAGTGTTTATATTATTTATTCTTAAAGAAAATCCTACGTGAACACACCCATGTGCATCATAGATATGTGCACACACCTTAGAAAGAGAACTGCATCTCCAGAAACAACATTCTTTTGGCTAACAAAAATACTCCAGCCAGTAGTGAGCAGATGCCGCCTTGGCTGACCTGACAAAATTACCACAAGGACTTTCTGTATCATTCAGAGTCAATAATATATGACTATGAAGCCAATCACACACAGTAGGTTTTTTTTTTTTTTACCTCTGTAAATGTGTCGAAATTTCCACTCTACACCATGCAGGTCTTTGGCAACAAGCTCTTGAGAGGGTCTTTGCTGCTTATAATCCTGCAGTGAGCACAAAAGCAATTGGTCACTCCTGGGAAGACAATGAACTCAACTCCTAAAAACTCCATGTTATGAATGAAAAATAGAGCATGGTGTCATACCAATGGAGGAAAACAATCTTCTGCAGCTCTGCGAGGGACAGAAAACCCCCCGTGAGTGCTGGTATCTGAGGCTGTGAGTGTTTTGCAGAACATGTGAGGAGTTGATTTTGTAGGTGTTGTTTCATTTCCCTCTTCATCTGCTCCCAATTCCTCGAGCTCTTTTCCGTCCAAATACATCCCTGCCAACTGAACACAACCCAAGATTTCAAGCCACTACTCCCCTTCTACACAATGCTCAAAGTATTTAATTAGAAATTATCATCCTTCTAGGGAACAAAAATTAACCAAGATGCACCAAAAACAGAATAATGACAAAAACCAACCTCAGCCTGGGGAAGCAAAGTAACATGTGTATACACCTCATCATTCTCCTTATTGGCCTAATCATAGATTAAAAAAAAAAAGGGACAATTAAACCAAACAAATAGAACCAATGCAAGGGTCCAAGTTTAAATGAATTAAGCAGGTAAAATACAAGTTCAGTCTCAATTTGAGCACTCACAAGTAACTGAATATTGACAACTCTACAGAAGATCTGTGGCTGAAGATCATAGGTTGGCACGTCCTTTGATGAAAAGGGAGAGAAAGATGCCGCTTGTTCTAAATGCCCTTGGGGGAAATACACCACCACATTCCCTTTCTTTGGGAGGGAAGTGAGGGGGCCAGCACAAGCGTGCCAAAGCTCAAGATAAGAAGAGGACGCACGTGCCGAAGAGGAGCCAGAAGATGAACAAGTAGGAGAGGACAGAGAGCAAACACAAGCAACACCTTTCTCACACTCTCCATTGCAAGACGCACTCTCAGCCTCAGTCGCAGCATCGTTCAGATCAATTTCCATGAACGCCCCAGTGTGGTGGTTGTTGGTTATTGTGGAGGAGTGGGACTCAAGTGGGAAACCAAAGAGAATAAAAAACAAGAAGGAAAGAAAGAGAGGATAAAGGAGGCCAAGGGTGCAATCAAGTGGGTCTAAGAAAAGGAAATCCAGAAAGTGTGAACTGTAACAAAATGGAAATGAGGTCAAATCATGAAAAAGGAGTTCATGTTTGGAGGGACACCACAAAGTAGAAAAGAGAAACAGGGGAGGGATGGAGGAGAGGACATGGTAGGAAGAAGAGAAGAGAATATGAGAAAAAGAGTGTCCATCAAATAATAACAAGGAATTCAAAGTATGATTCCAGCCCCATTTGAAGGTACTGAGAAGAGGGAGCAGAAGTAGCAGACATAGACAATTGCATAGGAGGCACAGAAACAAAAGGCAACAAAAGCCAATGTGGTAGTGGCTTTTGGAGTTGGAGTAGTGTAGAGAGAGAGAAAGAGAGAGAGAGAGAGAGAGAGAGAGAGAGAGAGAGAGAGAGAGAGAGAGAGAGAGAATGTGTGTGTGTGTGAGTATGTTGTGTTGGGTGGAGGGGACAGGGTAAGACAGTGCAGAACCCACACTTCCCCACCCTCTTCTCCTTTGCTTTGCATTGCATTGCATTGCACTTAGCTTTATCTTTTCATCTTTATTAATAATTTCCTTCACTTGTTTGTGAGGCCCTCCACCAACACAACATAACCAAAAACACCCCTTTCATTCAATTCATCAAACATCTTCTGCCACATTATTTTCCCTCAAACACAGGAAAATTCAACCTGACACTTTAACCCACCACCCATTTTATTAGGTACGTAAATATTATGGCAATCAATACCATGCTTCAACTCCAGTCCACTGAATCTTATTAATAGCTTATTTCCTCAACCATAAGTAGAAAAAAAATGTTACCTTTTTTCAGTTTATTTGATTTCTAGGCCTGTGATATCCGACACAGACACCCACTACTGTTCATTTAATAAAATCACTATACCCTCTAAAAATTTATCAATATTAATCACTGATGTTAAGTAACTACGTATGAAATCAGTTTCAGCATGTGTTATCAGTATGGTTAAACAGTAAAAAATCATTTTTTTAATATATTTTCTATTATGAACATAATTCACATCACTGAATTAACAACTAAATACTAATTTGTATTAACAGAAGGTGACTTTTACTCTCAAATTAACACTATATAAATTGATGATTGATTATTGAATTAT